GTCCGCTCCATCCACCGGAGGTGTCAAGAAACCCCATCGGTATCGCCCAGGGACTGTTGCCCTCCGTGAGATTCGGCGTTATCAAAAGTCAACAGAGTTGCTAATCAGAAAGCTCCCTTTTCAAAGGCTCGTACGAGAAATTGCACAGGACTTCAAGACCGACCTTCGTTTTCAGAGTGCTGCAGTTGGCGCACTCCAAGAAGCCAGTGAGGCATACCTAGTGGGCCTGTTCGAAGATACGAATCTTTGTGCTATCCATGCCAAACGAGTGACCATCATGCCCAAAGATATTCAGCTTGCTCGGCGTATACGTGGGGAACGTGCGTAAATGTGTTTTATGGTAATAAAAATTTATCATTGCTACCTTTGTCCTTTAATTAAGCTCATTAGATTCTGTCCAAAGGCGTTTGGTGTCCTTATTTCCTTTAATAACGTTTGGCCTGAAGCGTGTCAATGGTTTCATGTACTAATCCGTCCGTTGTCTGGTCTTGCGCGAACAGTGCTGTGTGTTTTCGGGTGCGTCATTGCCAGCTGGGTTTCGGTCACATCAAAAGCACCGACCACTCCGATACCGGTCTTCTGGGCTTGACTACTGGTCTCCCGGGAGCCCTATGCCCATTGATACGCATGCCAACTTATCATAAAATATTCAATAAAGACGCTCAAGTCGCTTTTGTTTCGGTTAGAAGCATCTGATCCACCAAATCAGATCCAGGTAAGTTACATGCCTTGTTGGACAGTTTGAGTGCTAATGTAAACAGGTTCGGTATGCATTTTGCATCTTCAAAGTGTAAAATGTTACTACAAGAGTGGGTTGGTCCTGCACCCAGCCTCATTCTAACTGGGGAAGTAATAGAGCAGGTGGATAAGTTTTGTTATTTGGGCAGCTACATCTCACCCGGTGGACGCATCACGGCTGAAGTGTCTGCTCGAATACAGAAGGCTCGATTGGTATTTGCCAACTTGAGACATCTGTGACGCCGACTCAACATTTGGCTGTCTGTGAAGGGTCGAGTGCATGCTGCGACAGTTCGTCCAGTCCTGCTATACGGTGCAGAAATTTAGCCATTAAGAAAACAGGATAAACATAGACTGTCGGTGTTGGAACACCGCTGTCTACGCAGCATTGCACGAATCTGGTGTGGTGGCCGGATGAGCAATGCTGAGGTTAGGGGCAGAGTTTTGGGTATCCGCAGTCGCCCACTGGAGCAAGTGGTCGACCTCCATAGATTACGTTGGTTGGGACATGTGTTACGCACTTCATCAAATAGGTTTCCACGGCGACCAATGTTTGCCGAGGCAGGTAG